GTCCGAGTTCGAAGACCCTGGCCACGCATATAAACCATCCGTCTCCGATCCCGGAGTCACCGGCAGGAAGTGGTTAATTTCTTAATTTGCTAGATATTGAATGGACACAGAGCTTTTCTATTCTTTGCCAACATGTATCATTTTGTGTTTATACATCAAATTAACATTTTTATACATCAAAATTAACCTATAAAAGGCCACAGGATCCTCCATTGTCAGCGCCATGGTCATCAGAGGCTGCTCCTAATTTGTCTTCCTGTTCTTTAGTGATACTGGTGGGTGTGTAGCAAATGCATTTTTCATGCTGTGAATAAATTGAGGCAGATTGTGAAGAATTTTTCTAAGTTCCCAACAACCAAAATGTATTCAATAGCACTCAAAAAGGGAGAGCAATTTTAAAAACCCATAAATATGTTGTTTTGATGTAAGGTTCTGCAGGATATGCAATACATTTTACACGTGGTACATCTGAATCATGAACATCACCCCCCCTGTGTCATATAGTGGCGACCTCCTCTCCCCCCTTGTTTAATTTCCATGGATGGGCAGTTATCCTCCTCACAATAGCCCATCTCCTACCCACTCCCAGTTCCCAGCACAAATTTAGGCCACTGGTGCTTAACCACTCCCTGCCGGGGATTCCGGATCTGGACACGCATGCTTTATATGCGTGTCTGGGGTCTCTGAACTTGGAAAAAGGGAACAGGGCCTTATTACAAAAGACCGTACTCTGAACAAAAGACCCGCCTGCTGGGAATTAGCGACATTTTTTCACTCTCAAAAGTGGAGATAATCCAGCCGTGTTTTGAAACAGTATAACACAGTTTGGGGCATTTAGAGTGAGCGGTACAAAAGCGCCCCACCACCGCAGCGATGAGCCACACAGCATCGCCGCATGCTAATCTGGCCCCTATTGAAAAGAGGTCAGCAGTACACTGAGCCAGGTTCGTGACACCGCACAATCTGGGCCCTTTTTACAAGGCTGCTGGCCTGGCTGAAATACTCAGGCGTCAATGGATTTTGTCTGTCAGGCTAGAGTGGTCACCAGACAACTTTGAGTGTCCAGTATATGAAGATAGGAATTTTTAAAGAATTTTGAAAACAGAAAAAAATGATAAATATCCCCGCCCAGCATCATCAACATTGATAACTGCCCCGGCAAGAAGTGGTTAAGGCAGTACATTAATGCTGATCCCTATAGTATGGAAAAAATCCTGCTGTAGATTTTAGATTGTTGGGTGTTCTTGAGGAATTTTATCAGCAAGACACCCCTCCCCTCCCCAGAGAAAAATGATACTGTGACCCTTCTGGTATAGTGAATGCCACAAGACTTTGCTGAATTCCAACGAGACATACTGTATCCTGAATATAGACCCTCATCTAGAGCCTCCATGTGCTGTATTCATAAGCCCTGTGTTTCAGATGCAGTAGCAAGGATTAGCCCAGGTGGGAGCAGAACCTTTTTGCCAAACTTTGTGTTATTTTTCATGATCCTTTTATGCCTAGTTATATACTCAAGCTTCTGCACCCCTCGCTCACATATTTAAGTGTTAATTTTAATTTTGTGGTGACTGGAATATATTTCACCGACTGGTTTTAGTTTTCATGATTCACGATAACTAATAACTTCACATAGTTCTGATTTGAATGTGCTCAAGGAGCTCATGGTTCTCGTTTGTTGGGGCAAATCATTTCATTTATATGTACCACTTACTGCAAAACTTATGGTATAGCATTCTTTTTTAAGTGAAGGGAACTTTCCGTGCCATGTTGATTGCCATGTCTAACAAGTCTAAGTATTGAAAGTGGTGTAAAAGTTCTGTAATGTAAAATAGTGGAGGGCTGATGTACTTCTGTGGACATGCAATATTAATTTGGGCAAATGGTTGGACTGTCTTTTGGGATGTAATACAAAAAATTTTATTGCCATTTTTTCTGAGCACTTTTTGGCACCTTTAGCAGCCTCTCTCCAGTGTTACAACACCTCCTTCAGAGTATCTGTGAATAACTCTGTTTCTTTTCTGTCTTCCCCCTTTAGTCTCTTAGCTACTGTACATGCCTGTATGAATAGGGCAGAGCCGTGGTTGATTGGTCAAACAATAAAGACACCTTGCACACGCATACTTTTGGGAGCATCTTTTCCATACCCACATTCAAACACACACACTTAGATAGTTTTCTGTACCCCCACTCTAGTAAGGAACATGATTGTACATGCACGAGTTTTGGTTTGAATGAGAGTGGTAGTGCAGTGAAGTTTGAAGAACATGAGCCAATGAGGTGTAAATTAGTGGAAGGTTGATCAGTTTGAAAATAGAGTTGGGGCAGTTGTCTCCCATGTATTTTGAGTGAGTGGTTTTGCCGTTAATGACCTCTGCTGCAGCTAGTTTGTTTGACCTTTGGGCAAGTTATAGGGCCAAAGAGAGATCTTCTGAGTCCACCTGACTTGGAAGAATTTCAGCTAATTTATTGGATTGTGTTTTGAGCAGATTTTGACTCAATTTTGTATCTCTACTGGGCACGTTTGAGGAAGACAAGTCAACAACATCGACCAGCAACCGTAAGTTAAAGAAGTTAATATTTTCTATTGAATAACAGAAATATTGCTTTCCTTACCAAATTTATTGCTGTGAGATGCACGGGAAATAAGGATGGAATCAGGAGTTTGAATTAATTGGAGTAACAAACTGGTGAACATTTTGAATAATTGGGCTGGATAAAAGTGGTGGCTGTATCCAGATTATGATCTAAAATTGTGTCAATTGATTTAGAGAGTTCCAAGATGGAAGGTCTAGCAATGCTACAATAAGTGCTATATTGAAGGCTGTATGGAAACAACATTAATGTTTCACTTTTGGTGATATAAAGTCTGAAAGTTGAGCTAATTTACATGTTTAATTAATAGAGCGTAGTATTTTGAGAATTTACTGAACATTGTGAATTCACAGATGGCCCTTGATAATTTTTGATGTACTCTGGTCATGATGGTCTAGCTGGAATCTTGATGGCTAGCATGGCTTGAATCTTGATGGCTGGCATGGCTTGATGCTCTGTTCCAAGCCTTGACAGAAGAGGAACGCGTGAAGACGTAACGGGTGTAGACGTGTGGACGTGGAGGGGGGCCATTTGAAGCTGAGTCAAGTAGAGATTGAGTGATCGACCCACAGAATTTACACAGCCCCATTTATAAAAGGCATCAAGTCAGTTAAATTTATTATTATATGAAGCCTTCCTTAGAGTATTGTTTAAGTTATAATTCATGTGGAATGACTATTATCATTGTGGATAAATAAGGGTGCACTTGGAATTGAATGTAAATT